TTTCATTTAAAGAGAAAATTTTACATTTTTTTAGGGGGGGAGGGTGGGTGGGAGGGGGGAAAGCGGGGGAGTGAATTTTTTTTTTTTGGAATCGATTATTTTATGGGGAGAGAAAGGGAGGGGCTGCAAATCAAATTCAATTTAAAAAATTTTTATAGAAAATAACAAATTGCAAAGAAAAAAAAAGGAAAAGTTTTTTTGAGTGATTCGATTTTCCCAATTAATTAATTAATTAGTATAAAGTTCTTTAGAATATTATTCATTTACCTCAAATGGAACTTTATACTAATGGTCAATAACAACCCCAAAAAAAAAAAAAAAAAAAAAAAAAAAGTTAAATGATAATAATAACAAGATAAAAACACATGAAAATGAACAATACAAAATGGATAATAATAAAAAAGGAAAAATTAAACGGCAATAAAAACCGTTTTTACACGCGATGTAAAATGCACCAAAATAATTAATTTTTCATTTATTATTATTATTATTATTATTATTATTATTAACAATCCGTATATATATATAGTTATTCGTTGTTGATTTTATATTGTAAACATAAATAAATAATTATTAAATAAATAAATAAAATTCCTTGTCGTTTTCGTAGATGATTATTATTATTTAGCTCTTGTAAATTAGACGAAATAAAATATTATTATGAAATTTATTACGTAATAATAATAATAATAATAATAATAATATTCGAGTCTAAAAAATTTATTTAATGACAAAAGTTTATTATATATATATATATATATATATATGTTTTAATTATATTCATAAAAAAAATTAAAATTTTCATTTTTTTTTTTTAAATTTTAATTTTAATTTTATGTACCTTAAACATTTATTATAATAATAATAATAATAAATTATATCATTCATTTTCGAACCAATACATATATATATATATTATTATTATTATTTGTTTTTTTTTATGTAATTAATCTGCGATTTGGAAAAAAAAAGTTATTTAATAGGTAATTTAGTAATTTTGATTTATCGATGAAAATATTTTTAAAAATATATCTATATATATAAATAAATAAATAAATAAATTGAGTTTTTTTTTTCTCCCCCCCCCCTCCTTAATTATTCCTGAAATCGAATAAAATAAAAATTTTTTTGTTAATAAACGGTAAGTAAAAAAATTATGTAATGAGATTTGACAATTTTTAAAATTTTATCGATAACGAGAAAAAAGTGATTAAGCGATTAAATATTAAATCGAGTTAATATCATTATTATTTTTTTTTTAAACTCTTATTATAATTAATATTAATAAATTATTATAAAGTATTTAAATAAATAATAAATTGTTTATGATAAAAAAAAAAAAACTCGAATTAATTAAATCGATATTTTCAACATAAAATTAAATTGTGTATTTTCTTTTTTTTTTTATAAAGACATTTGTGAAAAAATATTGAATTAAATTAAAATAATATAATAATATTTAAATAAATTTAATTTGTTTATTTATTTATTTATTTATCCTTTTTATCGATGAAATTATGGTGAAAAACTAGCAGCCCAAGGAGGGCTCATAGGTTGGGGATTCTGAACATATGACATAACAATGGCTGATATTGATAACCTAAAATCAATTATACCATTGTTTATTCTCGAGTAAATATTATTAATAATAGAATTATTATCTATTATGTACATAAAAATAAATAAAGCAATAATAAAAGTACTTACATAAAACTACTAAATATTTGTTTTGCATTATCATTGACTTTCGAATTGGCAAAACTAACACATGAACAATATAAAGCGATCCAGGCACACCATTTTAGCTAAAAATAAAAATAAAAAACAATTTATTATTACATTTAATATTTATTAAAATAAATGTGTTAACATTTAAAAGAAATAAACACAAAAAAAAAAAAGAAAAAGGTTTTAAAAAAGACATTAAGGTTAATAACAATCCATTTGAATGATATATATATTTTACCTTCATCATTAATCCACTCATACTAAATATCATTCCTAAAATATTCATGTAGTCAGGTGTTAAATCTTCATCAGGGCCTCCTTGTGTCGAATGAGGAATTCTATACCTGAAATATATTCAATTTGTTAAATTTTATTTAATTTAAAATTAAAAAAAAGCATTGATAATAATTTTAAAAGTAATGATAATAAACCTTTGTTGTCGATCAAGTCTTCTGACATCAGTTGTATCTCCTCCTCCTTTCATTTTAATTTATTATCTTTTAAAAAATTTACAATTACAAAAAAAAAAAAAAAAAAAAAAAATTGCCAAGTAATTTTTCAATTACTTTAAAATAATGATTATAATAACAACAGTCACTCAGCTAGCAGGTTTTCAACAAATCAATGCTACCAACCCAAAATGCTTAAGTTATCAAAGTTGGTATTACTTACAAAACTTTATAATTCTTTATTTTCTTATTAAAACTTACCATTTTTTTTCTTTTTTTATTTATTTTTAATTAATTTTTATATTAAAATATTATGAAAAAACAATATTTTAATACAAATAAAACAAAATTAAAATGATTTTGATATTGATTTGAGTAAAAATACAAACAAAAAAAAAAAAAAAAAATTTATCAAATGTATTCCTTGTGTCACAACATGACTCAATCAAAAAATAAAAATAAAAAATTTATTTAAAATATTAATAATA